AGTGGGAAGTTTATAATGATACAGGCATAACCCAAGAAACAAGAAAAATTATCAAACAACTTAACCTTACACCTAAAGGAACTAAAAAAAAAAAGAGGAATAAACCAAGCCCGAAGCCAGTAGAAGGAAAACAAAGAGATCAGAGTGAAAATAAATAAATCTCAGTGAGAACTCTAAAATGAAAAATGAAGGAGGAAAAATAATAACTGACACCACATCAAGAGAACATCATGGAAAATTATACACCAACAAACTGGACAACCTAGAAGAAATGATTAAATTCTTAGAAACATACAACTTTCTGATCTAAATCAGAAAGAAACAGAAAATCTGATCAAATCATTACCAGTAATTAAACTGAATCAGTAATCAAAAAATTCCCAACAAACAAAAGTCTTGGATTAGATGACTTCATAGGTGAATTCTACAAAACATTAAAGAAGAGTTAATACTTATTCTTCTCAAACTACTCCAAAAAAAGACAGAGAAAGGAAAACTCCCAAATTCATTTTAGGAGGCCAGCATTACCTTGATCCCAAAACCAGACAAAGACACTACAAAAAAAGAAAACTATAGGCCAGTATTTCTGATGAATGTGTGAGCAGAAATCCTCACCAGAACATCAGCAAACTGAATCCAACAAAACATTAAAAGATTCATTCACCACAATCAAATAGGATTTGTTCCAGGGATACAAAGGTAGTTCAATATTCACAAAGCAATCAATGTGATACATTAACAAGAGGAAGGACAAAACCACATTATCCCCTCAAAAGATACAGGTAAAGCATTTGGCAAAATACAACCTCTTTCATGATAAAACTCTCAATGACACAGGTATAGTGGGAACATACCTTAAAAAGTTCTTATGATGAAAACCCCACAGCTAACATCATATTTGATGGTGAAAACGGAACTTTTCTTCCAGGCTCAGGAAAAAGACAAGAATGTCCACTCTCACCACTTGCATTCGACATAGTACTGGGAAGTCCTAGCTGTAGCAACCAGACAGGAAAAAGAAATAAAACGCATCAAAACTGTGAGGAAGAAGTAAAACTATCACTATATGTAGATGACATGATACTACATATAGAAAACCTGAAAGACTCCACCAAAAAAGTATTAGAACTCATAAGTGAAATCAGTAAACTTAGAGGATACAAAATTAACATACAGAAGAAATGTGTTGTGTTTCTATGCACTAATAACAAAGAACCAGAAAGAGAAATGAAGAAGTCAACCGAATTCATAATTACACTAAATATAATAAAATACCTAGGAACAAACTCAACCTATATTCTGAAAACTGTACGGTACTGAGGAAAGAAACTGAGAACACTACAAACAAACAGAAAGATACACCATGCTCACAGATTATAAGAATTAACATTGTTAAAATGTCCATACTACCCAGAGCAATCTACAGATTTAATGCAACCCCTATCAACATACCAACAGCATTTTTCCACAAAACTAGAACATATAATCCTAAAATTTGTATGGAACTCGAAAGACCCTGAATAGCCAAAGTAATCCTGAAAAAGAACTAAGCTGGACGTATCACAATCCCAGACTCCAGAGGTGCAGAAACGAGAACAGTACGGTAATGGCACAAAAACGAACTCATAGATCAATGGAACAGGACACACAGCCCAGAAATAAACCCATGGTTATATGGACAATTAATTTATGGCAAAGGAACTAAGAATATATAACAGGGAAAAGACAGTTTCTTCAATAAATGGTGCTGGAGAAACTACATGCTGGACAACTACATGCGAAAGAGTGAAATGACTGTGTTTCTACACCATACACAAAAATAAGCTCAAATGGATTATAGACCTTTATGTGAGACCTGAAACTATAATATTCTTAGAAGAAAACATAGGTAGTAATCTCTTAGACATCAGCGTTAGCAGTGTATTTACGGATAGGTCTTCTCAGGCAAAGGAAACAAAAGCAAGAATTAACTACTGGGATTACAGCAAAATAAAAAGCACAGCAATGGACACTATCAACAAAACAAAAAGGCAAACCTACTGGATGGAAGAATATATTTGCAAATGATATGATAAAGGATTAATACCCAAAATATATGAAGAATTTATACAACCTGACACCAAAAACCCCAAATAATCTGATTTTAAAATGGACACAAGACCTGAAAGGCATTTTCCCAAAGGCATACAGATGGCTAACAAACATATAAAAAGATGTTCAATGGGGCGCCTGGGTGGCTCAGTGGGTTAAGCCGCTGCCTTCGGCTCAGGTCATGATCTCAGGGTCCTGGGATCGAGTCCCATATTGGGCTCTCTGCTCAGCAGGGGGCCTGCTTCTCTCTCTCTCTCTCTCTCTCTCTCTCTCTCTGTCTGTCTGCCTCTCTGTCTACTTGTGATCTCTCTCTGTCAAATAAATAAAGAAAATCTTTAAAAAAAAAAAGATGTTCAACATTACTAATCATCAGGGAAATGTAAATCAAAACCACGAGATACCACCTTACACCCATCAGAATGGCTAGGATCAAAAAGGTAAGAAATAATGTATTGACAAGGATGTGGAGAAAAGGGAACTCTCGTGCATTCTTAGTGGGAGTTTCAACTGGTACAGACACTGTAGGAAACAGTATGAAAGTTTCTCGAAAAATTAAAAATAGAATTATCATATGATCCAGTAATTTCACTACTATTCACTCAAAACAAAAACATTAATTTGAAAAGATATATGCACCTCTATTTTTAAAAAGATTTTATTTATTTATTTGAGGGAGAGCACATGCAAATGCGAGAGCACAAGCAGGGAGAGCAACAGAGGCAGCGGGAGAAGCAGACCCCCCACTGAGCAGGGAGCCTGATGTGGGGCTTGACCTCAGGACCCTGAGATAATGACCTGAGCTGAAGGCAGCCACTTAACTGACTGAGCCACCCAGGTGCCTAAACCCCAATGTTTACTGTAGCATTATCTATAATAACAAAATGTGATAAACAGATACATACTAATATTACTTGGGCATAAAAAAGACTGGCTTTTGTGACAACATAGAAGGATGTTGAGAGTATTATGCTAAGTGAAATAAATCAAAGACAAACACTATATGATTTAATTTATATGAGGTATCCAAAAACTGTAAAACAAACAAAAAAATAAAAGTTTAAATACAGAGAACAAACGGGTGGTTGCCAGAGGACACGTGAATGGGGGTTTGGTTAAAATACATGAAGGGGGGTGTGCCTGGGTGGCTCAGTGGGTTAAAGTCTCTGCCTTTGGCTCAGGTCATGATCCCAGGGTCCTGTGATCAAGCCCCATGTCGGGCTCTCTGCTCCTCGGGGAGCCTGCTTCCTCCTCTCTCTCTGCCTAACTCTCTGCCTACTTGTGATCTCTCTGTCAAATAAATAAATAAAATCTTTTAAACAAACAAACAAACAAAAGATACATGAAGGGGATTAAGGGGCACAGACTTCCAGTTATTAAATAACTCAAGGAGATGGAAAGTACAGCATAGGAAATATAGTTAATGATCTCATAAAATAATGTTGTGTGGTGACTATAGTTATCATAGTGAGCAATGGTCATAGAGTTGTCAAATGAGTATCTTGTGTTCCTGAAACCAATATAACGCTGTATGTCAATTATATGTCAGTAATACATTTCTAATTTTAAAATACATTTATATTTTACATTTTATTTTATATAAATATGAAAAAAGAGAAAAAACAGTTTCTTATAAATTATAGTTTGCCTTAGCTATTACCCTCCCAGGTATTTCCCAAGAGAAATGAAACCATATGTACCCACAAAGACTCACACAAGAATGTCCAAAGCAGCTTCATTCATAATGACCCCAAACCGGAAACAACCAAATGTCCATCAATTGGTGAATCCCAAATTGTGGGATAGCCGTACAACGGAACATTAGTCACTAAAAAAGGAATGAACTATGGATATGTGTCAAGAAGGATGAATCTCAAAAGCATTATGCTAAATGAAAGAAGCGAACCAAAAAAAGACTACTGATGGAATCATTCCGTTTATGTGACGTTCTAGCAAAGGAAGAACTGTAGTGATTCAAAGGAGATCAGTGGTTTCCAGCGGCTTAGGGTGAGGTGAGTGGACCGACTGCAAGGATGCACAATTTGGGGGTGATGGAAATGCTTTATGTCTTGAATGTTATATTTACATGAATGTATACATTTGTCTAAACTCCAATGGAACACTCAATATGGGAAACTCTATCTCAAAAAATTATATCACAATAAATCTGATTTTTTTTCTTAAATATAGAGTAGATCCTCTGAATGCTGGTTTTTGTTTTTGTTTTTGTTTTTGTTTCAGTACTCAAGGACACAAGCCTCTAGTCAGTTGGATTATAGACAGATTTGTAAAGATACAGTGTGGAAAGTGGGATGATGAGTAGTAGGAAAGGTTGCTTCTGAGAACACAGAGTAATTCAGACTTGGAGGATGTGGGAGACCCAGCAGGTACCTCCACTCCTTTACTCCTCTCCTGTGGAAGCTGAAAGACAGATTTTGCTTTCTAGCTTCTTTAGCTAAGGGTGCCCCTGTGGCCCAGTTTCATTTCAAGGATGCCTTAGGTGTCAAGGGCTGGGGTTTCTGGTAGGGCTTTGGTTTTCCTGACAATAGGAGAACTTATCACATTGTCCCATTTCCTTTTTTTAAGTGGAAAAAGAGCTCTGCCTGACATGAATGCACAAATAAAGAATGCTTGAGGTAAAGAAGAAAATCAATCTGAAGATTTTTTTGCACCTAAATGTATTTATTTAAGTGGGATTGTTAGAATACAAGGAGTAATTTCTACATTTTCATGACCATTGGATTCAGTCTGATGTCCTATTTCTCTTTAGGCTTCCTTACTTAATTGAGCTACACAGATTCTGTGCCCAAAAAAATGCAAGTCATCCCGGACAGAATAAACTCTCTCTTGACTATAACCAATAGAATCCGGGCTTGAAGGGCTATAGCTCAGAAAAGCAGAGTACTTCATTTTTATATTCCATAAGTAGAATCAGGTGTTAGTCTAGTAGAATTTGACTTTTTATAAATATTTCCATCTAAATTATCTTCTGGTGTTCCCATTTTCTCCTCTGATATATCTGCATAGTCATATCTTTTTTTCCATGGTTGCTCAAGTGTGTAACCTAAAGAGAAATGACAAACGTTTAGAAGGATGTCAGATATGACAAGGTGTAGACTCATTCAATATGTCTCTATCCACCAGACCAGGTCTCTTTCACAGTCTTTCTCACCACTCTTAGAGCAGATACCTCTGTATCTTACTAAGCCAGAAATGTCTCAAATTTCCCAGTTCATCTACTTCCGACACCATCGTTGTCCATCTCTACTACAGGCTCTGCAGGATCTGGGTGTGAGGTTTGATCTACTACTAAGTAGCGGTATAATTTGGGGCAGGTTACTTAACCTCATCTGTAAAATGGGAAGAGCAATGGCACATACGTAGCTCAAAATTTCTACGAGAATTAAGTGTGAGGGCGCATGTAAAGAACATAATAGTTAGTTGGGCATTCGGCTGATGCTCCATAATTAACTATTAGCCAATAAATGAAGAGAAGCCTTTTCTCTCCCTAGAGCTAGAAGTTTCTTATCTTCTCTGGATTTGATTTCCTTGTGCTTCTTGGAGAAAGGGCACACAGTGTCTCCTCTTCTTCCACGCCAACAGCTTCAGTGTGTCACCTTCCACTGACTGCACTGACAGGGCAAGTCCCCCTACTTAATTTTCACTTGATTTTATGCTCCTTCCAATTGCCATGTTATAACTTTCCTTCTTTTCACAGTAAACTCTTTTAACTCAGTATTTATATTCTCTGCTTCAACTTCTTATTTGTCATTCCTCGATATTCTTTTATCTACCACTGAGAACCTACCAGGTGCTACAGGTTGGGGATTCATATCAAACAGACAAATCCCTGCTGTCAAGTGAAGGTCGTTACCAAAAACTGCTCTCTAGCAGGCCATGGACTGATTAAACCTCTCAAGTGGAAACCACAGAGCATTTCTGAGGACCAGGCAAGAGGCTGGTGATGCAGGGTGTGGGGGAGGGGCAGAGCAGGACATGAGAAGGGTGGAAGGCAAGTCAGGGCCAGAAGGCCATGACAAAGTTACGACTGTATTCCAAGCACAGTGGGAAAGTATGAAACAGCAGAGGTGCTCATCGTTAGGAGTGTGGTTTCTAAAGCCAGCCTGCCTCCGTTCAAATCCTCGCCCTCACAGGAACTGACTGTGTGACTTGAGCAAGTAACTTCGTATCTTGCTTATCTGTAAAATGAACCTTGTCTCGTTGAGCTGTTCTGAAAATTAAATGAGTTAATTTTATAAAGCACTTTAAGACAGCACTTCCACATAGTCACTGCTAAAGAAGAGTTTGTTAAATAAATGTTTTAACTGTACTGACTTAAATCTGTAAAAGATCACTATAGTGTGGGCAGTGCCCCGGGGGGTTGTCAGTTCGGAGGCCGTTGGTTGGTGGCCGTGAGTTGGGAATAGGTAGGTTAAGATGAACAGCGGCTAACATTTACAGAGCACGTACGTGTGCCAGGCACTATTCTAACTCTTCACAGGTGTTATCTCTCATTACCTCACAACAACCGATGAGCTAGGTACTGCTGTTCTTCTCATTTTACAGATGAGGAAACTGAGTCAGTAACTTCCCCAGTACCACACAGACATCAAACGGCAGAACCAAGAATCAGAACCAGGCAGTCTGAATCAACGTTCCACAACTGTAACCTACTGCCTCTCGCTGATGATCGCAGGACAGAATCCATACATTCAGATTATACAATACCCACAATTAGGCTTGAGCTATGTTAGAATTCCTGATATTTCTAGGACATGAGAATATGCTTCCTCATAGGCTATCACTTTCAGCTTCTCAGCACTGTGGACCACTGGCAGGACAAGTGGCATAGAACCTAAAAAATATTTCTAACGTTAAAAAAAAATTTTTTTAAGTAGGCTCCATGCCCAACGTGGGGCTTGAACTCGTGACCTCGAGATCAAGAGGCACACGCTCTAACAACTGAGCCAGGCAGGCACCCCTATTTCTAACATTTTGAGGCATTTGTTTTGCCAAGTGAAGTCTGCTCGTTAAAAGTAATTACCATGAGAGAAGCAACTTTTCAAAAGGAGGATTCATTTTTTTAAACCATTTTATCCAACCTAAATAAGATGAAAATTTTCTTCTATTCCCAAATAATAAGCTTACATGTAAAGGTAAAAAGGACTTAGCAAATTCATCTCTGTCTATATACTGTGCAAGGTGCTGAGATGTAGGTGCTTAGAAATGTGTGTGTGTGTGTGGAATGTGTCATTCTGTTCACAAGAATTCCCCATAAAAGTATTGCTAAAAATCACCTACTTTTGAAGTTATCTGAAGAGTTGCTTGTAGCAATTTCCTTCCAGTTGGCAATATACCTAAGCACATTATATGGGCATTCATTAAATTAAATCGATGTATTAGTAATAAATTGATCTATTAGTACCTGTTAGATTACTTCTAAAATTTCACTTTCTCTATGAAATATTGGATTGATGGTGACAAATGCACAGGTTCAAATGTTTAATTCTCATGACTGTTCCATCTCTAGCTACCTCCCCGTATGTAAGACAACCCCTAAAACAAGGTGTTGGAGGAGGAATAAAAATGGTGCATCTACCCTCTACCATAGTCATGCCCTCTGATCTGCCTCCAGCACAACTTTTCTCATTCTATCCCGTTCCACTCCTGCAACGTCATGTCCTCAGTTAACTTCTAAAAGTACCGAAAGAAAATTCTTTGGGAGGAAAAAAGGGGGAAAAGAACAACAACAAAAAACTTTCTCCTTGGTTCTGGACTGTCAGACTTACGGTCTCTGTCATGTCAGCGGAAATCTAAAGTGTGTGCTTTATGATCTTATTAGATAGAGTAAGGGTGCTATCTTTGCATGTCTGGTGAACATAAGAAATTACGTTAAAGTCAAGCACAATTTTTGGGCTGCCACCTCTCTTCCCTAAACAGAGAGACTGAATTAGGGAGACAAAGGCAGCCCAAGAAGACATGGATAGGGAAGGATAAGGCACAATGAGCTACAGAGATGAGGCAGAGCTTTAAAGAGGCAGGTTTCCTGTGACTTATCCTATTTCATCCCTTTTCCCAAGCCTCTGAAATCAGGTAAGCAGTTGGTTGCACCCAAAAAATCAAGTACGGAGGAGGTCCCAACAGTTGCTGACAAGGGACCTGGCAGAGAAAAAAATGAGAATTCTGAATTATGTAATTCAGAAAAACGCTGTGATTTTTTCAAGTATTTATTTGTTCCTTTTGAATTGTTTTTATACTTTTGTTGACTATGTGTTTGTCCGTTTTGTTATAGGAAAGTATATACTATCCAACAGTAGTTAATTATAACAAAGCATTGTTTCTAAGTTGGCTCCTCCTTGTCACTACTACCTATTGCTGCTCCAAGAACTTTGTTCCATGATCTTCACCAGGATGCTGCTGAGTCACTGCCACATGAAAAAGATTCAGGAAAACAGCAGGCAGTGTAACCCCCTCCAGGATCTTTTAGTAGACAATTCAATCTGGCTTCATTTTAAATTTAGGCAAATACTGTCTTCAGTGGTCACCCTCCTCAGAGGAGCACTATGAAATGTTGGATGTCCATTATCCTGCTTCCTTGGATTTATATACCAAAGGGTTTTCATTCTACTTTCAAGAAACCAAGATAACCTCCAATCAATTGTTTGCTACGACCTGACAGTCTGGGGCACGAACATATACCGTATTTAAGGCTGATCACTAACCCTGCTCTACCTGAGATTAGGACATGAATTTATTTAGTTGCATAAATTTTTTTTCTCATAATGTACATAACAGCTGTAACCAAGAAAAAATTTAAGTTTTACAAACAGAAGCAACAATGTAATGAGAGTATTACCATGCTGATCTGTCTTTCTCACTAAGATACTTTTGGAAATTTTTACAGAATAAAGTGTATGTGGAATCTATAGTGAACCCCTCAAAAGTATAAATTTAACACCTTAATGGCCCAGGAAAACTCCCTGACCAGAGAAGCCAAAAACCATGTCTTAGATATCAAAGGAGCAGCTTCAGATATAGAAACTACCCATAACACACAAAGGCAAAGAGCTTTCACCAACAGGATGCCCAGAATATCAGAAGACTAAGATAACCCAGCAGCTGACCACTGAACAAGTTACGTCAAAATTCACTTGCGGTCTGAAAAATATGAAGACTCTGGAAGAGGAACAACCATCTTGATAGAGAATATGACCCTGAAACCCACCAGGATAAATGCCAGCAGCAGGCACAGTAGCCATCATGTGGGTGATTTAATCATGACAATACAAGGACTGTTTTACATTCTAAGTGCCTATAGCGACGTATCTCTGGATACTGCAGAAGGGCAACAGCACTCCTCAGTAACCTTGAGTCCTACAGTTAAGTTGACTCTATCTATTCTTCAACGCAGTAACAATATTATTCTCAGATGATACTGCTGCAACCAGAAGATGTCCATGATGGTTTCCAGGGGAGTGTCCATCTGTCACACAAGGGGCTAGCACACAACATTTCTGGGAAGAAATTGGTTTGTATCACTGAACATCAACATTCAACACATTTATGTCATTCTAATGGTCTATTGAAAGGTGTCCACAGATTTCCACTATCAATTTTATTGAAGGGAAAAATGTCAGACGCTGAACTTCTTAACAAACAAGGTGTTATCAAGACAACTACAAATATCTAGATGACTATGAAGGTCTAACAGAGAGTACACTGTGGAGACCATAAATACATTGCGAAAATGGTGCTTATACCTAACTCCTGCCATTAGTAGGGAAAGGTGTTTGCAAGTTTGGTCTTCCCTGAGATAATCAGTAGCCTGAGTTCAGTCATGTTACTGAAATATTCCAAATAATCATGCTGGATTCCTTTGAAAATTTGTTGTCCAGGATTCCACAGAAAAAGTTAGAACAGATGAATACCACTAAAGAAAACAAACCACAAAGGGAGAAAGCAAGAGAACAAGAACAGAAAAGAACTACAAAAACAACCAGGAAAAAATTAGCAAAATGGCAATAAATGCACACCTATCAATAATTACTTTAAATGCAAATCAGCTAAATACTCCAATCAAAAGATAGAGGGTGACAGAATGGATAAAAAAACAAGAACCATCTATATTCTGTTTAAAAGAGATCACTTCAAAATAAAGACACATACAGACTGCTGGTGAAGGCATGGAGTAATGCAAATGGAAGCCGAAAAAAAGCCAGAGTAGCAATATTTATATCAGACAAAACAGACTTTAAAACAAAGACAGTAGCCAGAGACAAAGAATGGCATTACATAATGATGAAGGGATCAATCCTACAGGAGGATATAACAATTGAAAATATCTCTGCACACAACAAAGAAGCATCTGGCAAATGTTAACAGATATTAAGGGAGAAACCGACACTTATATAATTATACTAGGGGATTTTAACATTGCATCTGTGTCAATGGACAGATTACCCAGATAGAAAATCAATAAGAAAACAGTGGCTTTGAGCAACATATTAGATCAGATGAATCTAACAGATTTATATAGAAAATTCCATCCAAACACAGCAGAACACATATTCGAGTGTAGATGGAATATTCTCTAAGACAGATCACGTTAGGCCAAAAAACCAGGCCAGAAAATAAATCTCAATAAATTTAAGACTGAAATCATATCAAGCATCTTTTCTGACCACATCAGTATGCAACTAGAAATCAATTACCAAAAACCCCCACCAAAACAACAACAAAAAATTCACAAACGCATGGAGGCTAAACAATATGCTACTTAATAACCAATGGGTCAACAAAGAAATCAAAGAAGAAATAAAAAATATGGAGATGGGTTGCCTGAGTGGTTCAGCCAATAAGCATTTGCCGTTGGCTCAGGTCCTGATCCCAGGGTCCTGGGATCGAGCCCACATCAGCCTCCCTGCTCAGTAGGAGGCCTGTTTCTCCTTCTCACACTCCCCCTGCTTGTGTTCCCTCTCTCACTATCTCTCTATCAAATAAATAAATAAAATCTTCAAAAAAAATACATGGAGATAAATGAAAATGATTCCACAACAGTCCAGAATCGATGCGATGCAAAAGCAGTTCTAAGAGGGAAAGTTTGTAATGATACACACCAAACTCAAGAAACAAGAAAAAATCTCACATAACCCAAACTTACACCTAAGGAACTAAAAAAAGAAAAAAATTAGTCCGAAGCTAGTAGAAGGAAAAAAATAAGGATAAGAGAGGAAATAAATTACATAGAAATTAAAAGAACAATAGAAAGGATCCATAAAACCAAGAGGTGGCTCTTTGAAAAGAATCAATAAAATTGATAAACCTTTAGCCAGTCTCATCAAGAAAAAAAGAATAAAATTAGAAACAAAATTGGAGAAATTACAACTGACACCAAAGAAATACAAAAGATTATATACCAACAAATTGGACACCTGAGAAGAAATGAATAAATTCCTAGAAACACATGAGCTTCTAAAACTAAATGACGAAGAAATACAAAAAATTGAACAGGTCAATCACTCTTAATGAAACTGAATCAGTATTCAAAAAAACCCCAACAAAAATCCAGGATCGGGGCACCTGGGTGGCTCAGTGGGTTAAAGCCTCTGCCTTTGGCTTGGGGACCGGCCCATGTCAGGCTCTCTGCTCAGCAGGGAGCCTGCTTCCCCTCCTCTCTCTCTGCCTGCCTCTCTGCCTACTTGTGATCTCTGTCAAATAAATAAATAAATAAAATCTTTTAAAAAAAAAATCCACGATCAGATGGCTTTACAAATGAATTCTACCAAACATTTAAACTACAAGATACCTAGAAATAAATGTAACCAAAGAAGTAAAGGATCTGTACTCTGAAAACTATAGAACACCTGTGAGAGAAATTGAGGAAGACACAAAGAAATGGAAAAACATTCCATGCTCATGTACTGGAAGAACAAATATTGCTAAAATGTCTACGTTACCCAAAGCAATCAACACGTTCAATGCAATTCCTATTAAAATACCATTAACATTTTTCATAGAGCTGGACAAACAATTCTAAAATTTGTATGGAACCAGAGAAGACCCTGAATAGCCAAAGGAATGTTGAAAAAGAAAACCAAAACTGGTGGCATCCCAATTCCAGATGTCAAGCTGTATTACAAAGCTCTCATCATCATGATAATATAGTGAGGCAACAAAAACAGACAAGTAGATCACTGAAACAGAACAGAGAACCCAGAAATTGACCCTCAACTCTATGGTCAACTAATCTTCAACAAGGCAGGAAAGAACATCCAGTGAAGAAAAGACATTCTCTTTAACAAATGGTATTGGGAAAATTGGACAGCCACATGCAGAAGAATGAAACTGGACCACTTTCTTACACCATACCAAAAATAGCTCAAAATGGATGAAACACCTAAATGTGAGACAGAAATCCATTAAAAGTGTAGAGGAGAACACAGGCAGCAACCTCTTTGACCTCGGTCACAGCAAATTCTTGCTAGACATGTCTCCAAAGATAAGAGAAACAAAAGCAAAAATACCTATTGGAACTTCAAGATAAAAAGCTTTGCACAGCAAAGGTTAACAGTCAACAAAACTAAAAGGCAACCTATGGAAGATATTTGCAAATGGCGGAACAGATAAAGGGCTAGTATCCAAGATCTATAAAGAGCTTATCAAACTCCACACCCAAAAAAAACCAAAAAAAATCCAGTCAAGAAATGGGCAGATGACATGAACAGACATTTCTCCAAAGAAGACATCCAAATGGCCAAGAGACACATGAAGAAATGCTCCACATCACTCCTCCTCAAGGAACTAGAAATAAAAACTACAATGAGATACCATCGCACACCAGTCAAAATGGCTAACAACTCAGGAAACGACAGATGTTGCCAAGGATGCGGAGAAAGAGGAAGGAACCCTCTTATACTCTTGGTGATAAACTGGTATAGTCACTCTGGAAAACAGCATGGAGGTTTCTCAAAAAGTTACAAATAGAGCTACCCTACGACCTAGCAATAGCACTATTGCACTACTAGGTATTTATCCAAAGGATACAACCATAGTGATTTGAAGGGGCACATGAACCCCAATGTTTATAGCAGCAAAGTCCACAGTAGCCAAAATACAGAAAGAGCCCAGATGTCCATTGACATATGAATGTTTAACAAAAATATAGTGTGTGTGTACACACACACACACACACACACGCGCGCGCACAAGAATACTACTCAGCCATGAAAAAGAATGAAATATTGCCATTTGCAATGACATGGATGGAACTAGAAGGTATTATTCTAAGCAAAGTCAGTCAAAGAAAGACAAATACCATATGATTTCACTCATATGTGGAATTTAAGAAAACAGATGAACACAGGGGAAGGGAAGGGAAGGAAAAATAAAATAAGATGAAAACAGAGAGGGAGACAAACCATAAGAGACTCTTAACACATGGAACAAACTGAGGGTTGCTGGAGGGGAGGAAGGTGGGGGGATGGGGTAACTGGGTGATGGGCATTAAGGAGGTCACTTGAAGTAATGAGCACTGGGTGTTATATGCAACTGATGAATCACTAAACTGTACCTCTGAAACTAACAATGCAGTGTATGTTAATTAAATTGAATTTAAATTAAAACATTTAAAAAGTAAAGAAAGAAGATTTAATACTGATTCTTATCAAACTGTTCCAAAAAACAGAAAAGAAAGCTTCCAAATTCATTCCATTAGGTCAGCATTACACTGATGCCAAAACCAGTCAGACACCACAGAAAAACAAAACAAAACAAAACTATGGGCCAATTTATCTGATGACACAGGTGCAAAAATCCTCAACAATATATTAACACACTGAAGGCAATAATATTAAGAGGATCATCCACCACAATCGAGTGGGATTTAGTTCAGGGATGCAAGGGTGGCTCAATATTTGCAAAACAATCAATGTGATACATCACATTAACACTAAGAAGGAAGAAAACCATATGATCCTCTCAATAGATGGTAAAAATGCATTTGACAAAATACAATATTGTTCATGATAAAAACTCTAAACAAAGTAGGTTTAGAGGGAACATACCTCAATATAAAAAAGCGTATATATGAAAAACACATAGCTAACAATGGTGAAAACTGAGCTTTTCTGATAAAATCAGGAACAAAGTAATAATGTTCACTCTCACCACTTTTATTCAACATAGTACTGGAAGTCCTAGCCACAGCAATCAAACAAGAAATAAAAAGCATCTAAATTGGTAAGGAAAAAGTAAAACTGTCATTATTTGCAGTTGACATGATACTACATATAGAAAACCTGAAAGACTCCACCAAAAAGCTATCAGAACTCATAAGTGAGGTCCCTGGGTGGCTTAGTCGGTTAGGCATCTGACTCTTTTTTTTTTTTAAAGATTTATCTATTTGAGAGCAAGCGAGCACAAACAGGAGCATAAGCACAAGCACGAGTGCAGGGAAAGGGGCAGAGGGAGAAGCAGGCTCCCTCCCTGCAGGGAGCCAAACACAGGGCTCAATCTCAGGACCCCAGGATCATGACCTGAAATGAAGGCAAACGTTTAACCAACTGGGCCACCCGGGGGCCCCTCAGCAACTGACTCATGATCTCAGGGGTCATGAGCTTGAGCTTCATGTTGGGCTCCATACTCAGGAGCCTAGAAAAAAGGGATAAAAAGAATCTGTACTTGAGGAACTACAGAACACTCATGAATGAAATTGAAGAAGACACAAAAAGATGGAATACCATTCCATGCTCTTCCAATGCTCGGTAGAATAAACATTGTTAAGATGTCTATACTGCCTAGAGCAATCTATACTTTTAATGCCATTCCGATCAAAATTCCACCAGTATTTTTCAAAGAGCTGGCGCAAATAATCCTAAAATTTGTATGGAATCAGAAGAGACCCCGAATTGCTTAGGAGACGTTGAAAAAAGAAAAACAAAACTGATGGCACCACATTACCTGATTTCAAGCTTTACTACAAAAGCTGTGATCACCAAGACAGAATGGTATTGGCATAAAAAAAGACACATAGACCAGTGGAACAGAGTAGAGAGCCCAGATATGGACCCTCAACTCTATGGTCAAATAATCTTCGACAAAGCAGGAAAAAATATACAGTGGAAAAAAGACAGTCTCTTCAATAAATGGTGCTGGGAAAATTGGACAGCTATATGTAGAAGAATGAAACTCGACCATTCTCTTACACCATACACAAAAATAAACCCGAAATGGATAAAAGACCTCAACGTGAGACAGGAATCCATCAGAATCCTAGAGGAGAACATAGGTAGTAACCTCTTCGATATTAGCCACAGCAACTTCTTTCAAGATATGTCTCCAAAGGCAAAGGAAACAAAAGCAAAAATGAACTTTTGGAACTTCATCAAGATCAAAAGCTTCTGCACAGCAAAGGAAACAGTCAAGAAAACAAAGAGGCAACCCATGGAATGGGAGAAGATATTTGCAAATGACAGTACAGACAAAAGGCTGATATCCAGGATCTATAAAGAACTTCTCAAACTCAACACACACAAAACAGATAATCATGTCAAAAAATGAGCAGAAGACATGAACAGACACTTCTCCAATGAAGACACACAAATGGCTAACAGACACATGAAAAAATGTTCATCATCACTAGCCATCAGGGAGATTCAAATTAAAACTACATGGAGATACCACCTTACACCACTTAGAATGGCCAAAATTAGCAAGACAGGAAACAACATGTGTTGGAGAGGATGTGGAGAAAAAAAAGATGTGGTAGATACACACACACACACACACACACACACACACACACACACACACACACACACGGTGGAATATTACTTGGCCATAAAAAATGAACTCTTGACATTAGTGAAAATATGGATAGAGATAGAGGGTATAATGCTAGGTGAAATAAGTCAGACAGAGAAAGACAAATACCAAAGAATTTCACTTTGTGTGGAATCTAAGAACTAGATTTTGTTTCTAAAAAGCAAATGAACAAAAAAACCACCAGACTCTAAATATAGAGCACAGATGTTTGTCAAAGGGAGGTGGGTGGCAGAATAGGTAAAACAGATAAAGGGGATTAAAAGATACAAGTCACAGAGATGAGAAGTACAGCACTGGGAATACAGTTGGTAATACACATAGTAAAGTTGTGTGGTGACAGATGGTGATTGTATTTATCATGGTGAACACTGAGCTATACACAGAATTGTTGAATCACTATTTATAGACCTACAACTCATATAACATTGTATGTTAATTATACTTCAATTTAAAAAAAAGAATACCTAAGTCTAATTTTTTTCTACTTTTATATCATCTTTTTATATTCTTCCCTCATCTCTTCTTTTTTCCTAGACAAACAATACTCTTTCTTTTTTTCTTTTTTTTTAAGACTATGTTTGTGGGCCCAAGATTCGAAGCAGAGGTGGGAACATCAGAAACACACATGGGGCCTGCCCTTGCTCCCCAGGAAAAGCAGAAAGCATTTACTCATCGAAGTTCAGGGCATTTGTCCAGTTCAGCACTTCATCCACTTCCCATTCCATCACTGAATCTAGTCCACCGCTTTCGACAGCTCTCATGAGCCCCTTGGTTGCTGTGTGAATTAAATCTAGAGTTTTACGATTTGTTGACTTAGCCTCTAGGTTTCCTGCATAGTACCTAAACGGAGAAAGGAAGGGAGACATCGATCTTGTGAACCCGGTCATTACTAGTAGATGCAGTTAATAGATATATTGTTGCTGTGAAGCCATTTACATATTAAACCACATTTTCACCCGATTTACTTAAATACATCCAAACCAATTCAATGTGATGGGATGTTTTGGGGGTAAAAAAGAATCAAAAGAAAGAGAAAGTAAGCAACTGAATCAACCACATTACCCGGTAAAGCCTCATTTCAAAACCACCCCTCAGCACACTGCATTGCTATGATACAATGAAAAACCAATTAAATCACTGAATCACAAAATTGGAGTCAAAGGATCTTGGAGATCAGATGAGTAACCTTCTCGTCTTTCAGGAGAGAGATTAAGTCCTAGAAGACAAGGTCATGTGGCTAAAGGCTGGTAAGGGCTGGGAAAGTGGAGGGGAACAGGAGAGAGAGGGAGAGGCAAAGGGAAGAGAGATGGTAACACCCTCTTTTGTGTCAGGTACTTTTCATACATTATCTTGTTTAATTCTAAAAAGACACAGCCATTTGTGACAGCTGTTTTTACTCCCATTTTATGGGTGAGCAAATGGGGAGGTGGAGAAGTTAAGAAATTGCTCAAGATCATGTAAGCAGTAAACAGATGTCAGAGCCCGTATTCGAATGTGACTCCAAGCTAAGACTTCTTCGATGGCACTGTTCTGTCTCATGTCCTGTCTCATGCATCAGTGAGTACATCTAACACACGTGAGCTGAGTGAGTAGAGACAAGTCAGCAGTCTTTACCAAGAATATTAGAAAATAGCATTTATTCTTTTGTTTTTCATTTTAGGATCTATATTGGCATTCCATTTTAAAGTTAACCTATGCTGAAACTGTTTTCATTTATTAAATCAACACAGAGCAGGAAGCGGCACGGTGGTCATGTAGGGCTAGGTGGCTCTGATATCCAGCCATTTGGCCTTGAGTCTTGCTTCTGTGATTTATTTACTAGCTCTCTGACCTTTCCAAATAACCTAGTCTTCTTGGGCTTCAGATTACCTTAAAATGGTAATCATCATATCCTCTTCTCAGCATTCCAGAAGCGTTTAGAAGTGTGAATCTTTATGAGGCATTCAAAACTATGACTGGCACATAGGAAATATTCAATAAAAGAAGGCTTACAAGTTCCTGGATGGTAAGGGGTCTGACAGTAACAAGGTATGTCTCTGCCTTCATGAAGTTTCTAACTTTTTCAAATAGTTAACAATCCATGAGAGCTACTTTCATAGAAGGAGAAACATGCCTCTTGATTTATATTAGTTAGCAAGAGCACAAATTTTAAGAAAGTATATTTCACAATTTTTCTATAGTTCTTCATTCACTTACTCATGTAATAAATATTTATCGACTGTCTACCATTTGCAAAGCATTGTGTACAGAGGTGGGATTCCTCCGTGGAACTTGCAATCTTCTACTCTATATTTCCTGAACATAATAGGCACTCAAAAAAATATATACTAAATGAATGAATGATGGTACCCAATGGCCCAGGTTTATTAACAAATGCTGATGCCACAACAAAAATGTATTTAGAAATCAGAAACTTCTGGAAGGCTAGAGGTGAGCACATTTTTTATGAGTTCTTTCATGTTTTATATTCCCAAATATACACTTGTGATTAGATTCAGACACCTGGATGATATTTCTTTTTTCTTTGGCAACAGTGATTTAAAAGTTCAGGTATCAATTTTTGTTCTCATCAAGGATATACAGGAAAAGGATGAATTTTAAAGAGAATTATAATACTTATTCCAAGAATTTAATTCTGTTTTAAACATTAGTCACTATTTATAGTTAAGGGGGCTAGAACAGTAATCAAACAACGATAGGCTAGCAAGTAGAACAGAACTTCAAATATAATAGTAACCAGAAATACAGATCACTTTATAACCTTAACTTGTTTTATAAAAAATGGTATTTAAAACAAAAACAATATAAAATTTGGCTGTAAAGGTAATGTTGCAATATATCCATTTTAAAATGATCTCTTATTCTAAGATAGAAATTTTAAAGAGAAAAAAATTATAAAAATGTCTTTCTGAATATACCAACAGGGAGAGAAGTTAAAATGCAAAAGACCTACTAAGAATCAAAGTTTAAACTGGAAAAGAAGTCAAGAAGAGCTAAGATCTGTAGGACACAGGAAAGGAATATAAAAAACACACTTTTTTTTTTACTTAAGAGAGAGATTAAAAAATACGAAGATTTTGTTTATTTTGTTCACTGCGGATTCTCAGCAAAGGTCGGTAGAGGATGCCATCAGTGAACAAAGCACACCAAGTAACGTTTCTCCTTCACCCCCTGCAACCTTACATAAAGGAAACATTACAACCACATCCAGCCATAAGGACTGAATGCCTGACTCGGTCGCTCGCTCACTCAATTCATTCAACAAAAAACACGTATTCGTTAAGCATCTACTATGTCTACAGCCCTGTGCTGACAAATAGATCAGAGTCCCTGTTCTTCAGGAGCTCAAAGTGTGGAAACGGCAGACCAATATGAGGAGATTTGCAAAAGTGTGACAACTGAGTATTTATATATCTGTGAAGGCACCTCCAAAAAAAGTGCCAGTGCCTAGCTAAGTCAGGGCAGGCTTCAGAAGGAGATGTTTGAGCCACATATCAAAAGGTGAAAGCTGGAGCGCCTGGGTGGCTCAGTGGGTTAAAGCCTCTGCCTTCGGCTCAGGTCATGATCTCAGGGTCCTGGAATCGAGCCCCGCATGGAGCCCCGCATCGGCCTCTCTGCTCAGCAGGGAGCCTGCTTCCCTTCCTCTCTCTCTCTGCCTGCCTCTCTGCCTACTTGTGATCTCTGTCAAATAAATCAAATCTTAAAAAAAAAAAAAAAAAAAAGGTGAAAGCCTTGTTGCCATGGAATCGAGCCAGAAAAGAGCAACCTGGGGAGAGGGACTATCATGTGGGATGTAGGGACAGTGAGCCCCTAATATGTTTCAGGTAAGGAAGGGATTTAATCTGTTTTTGAGACATGGCATTAATGTTTACACAGAGATGGCAAAAGACTAGAGACAAAGAGAGCAAGCAGAAGGACTCTGCCTGTGAAGTAGAGACGAGAGCACTGAGAGCTCCAGTCGGGGAGGGACAGGCATGCCAGACTTGGGAGAGTGTTTAGAAGTAGAACTGATAAGACTTTATGACAGATGACACATGGGAGCTTTTGAAAGGTAAGAAGTCAAGGCAAACCCCTACATTTCTGGCTTGGATGACTGGGTAAATGATGGTATCATAACCTGAGGCCAAGAGGAATATGTAATAGAAACAATTTTTATGATGAGAAATATAAGAAATTCAGTGTTAGACCAGCTGAGTTTGAGATAGAAATGTCTGTGTAATTAGAAATACAGAGCTCAGTTATGGATGAGGATTGTTTTGAGAGTAAACAGAGGAAAGGAAAAAAAAAGAAAGATTATTGTTCATGTGCATTGGCTTATTACCAGGTGTCCTCCCCACCCCACCCCACCACCCCCCACCCCACCCCATGCTATGCCTGGGCTTCAGCAAATCATACAAATGTTCCGTCAATGCCAGCTGCTTCCAGTGATGGTACACACGGTGCATGTATTTTGTTGTTCTGAGTCTAGTACTACACTTCCTGTACTGTACATGGGCCCCTGGTTAGAGGCAATGTTGAATGGAACAAAATGATGATGGATAAGGCTTCTGTGATAAATGGTACTGCTGACCGAAGTAACGCAAGCAGAGAAATCAAACACACATCCAGAATGCTTGTCTATCACTGCGAACACGAAGAGATGCCACCTGACGGTGAAGGGACTAGTCAGCCTGCCACCAGGCAGCCAGCACGCTGTCGGAGGCAGAGCAATGGCTTTTGCTGTCCAGTCAGCTGAGACTATGTAGTGGTAACAACCTCAGTGAGGAAAAGACCAAGTTTAGGAGTCTGTATGCAGCCTCCATCCCTGCACCCACGGCCGCCTTGTGCACGGCTCCACTGGGCAGCCACTGAGGTGGTCAGTGAGAAACGGACATCCACAGGCTGGGTCACCTTGTCCATCTGAATACTTAGCGCTTTCTGCCTCTTGGGCCCTTGGGAGGGCACTCACAAGGACACAAACATACGCTATGCCCATTATGAGTATACCTGCCCCAGATCTAATTCCAATTTCCCCATTTAATCCCACCTAAGTGCCTAATCAGCGGAGAAGCTCTCAGTTACTGCCCACAGACAATAAGGTTCCTGTCTCAAGCTGTTTCTCCTTTATATATGAAGTAGAAAACCGGTTGTGCTCACTGGGAGGACAACCTTTGACCATTCTCTGAGCCTACTGGGGGGCTGTAATCTAGTGACTGTCCATATTGGATGTTGCCAGAATCCTGTGCTGATCCCTGGTGAATTAGACCTAATATATTCTCCTCTGTTAGCTGGCCGCAGGGGACTCCCCATGAAGCCGAAGGCACGCAGAAAAGCAGCACCCATACGGCTTAAGTGGGTGTGGAAGGACTCCGGGCCGCCTGCTCATACAGCTTACCACAGCCCTCCGGACCTTCTCAGACCCATTCTCTTTTGCACTTCATCTACTTTGTACTGAGATGATGCTGTATACTCTCAGCTTTATGGTTCACTGGATTAGATAAAACCCAGGTCAGCTCATAATCACAGAGCACTTAGAGTCCTACTGCCAAGCATCCAGTCTCTCCCACAGCCCAGTAGCAGAACTGGAACTGATTTTCAAATTTAAAATAGAGGTTGGCAGAAGAGGGCATTATGTTACTCCTAAACCCTCTGTGCTGAGATCCTCTTATTACAAAAAGCCCCATATAGTATTTCACTGTATGTCCAATACTGTTGGGACTGCTTGGCCCTAAAGGCCAAGTGGGAGGACCGTGACCACGCTGTGGACCTGCTACCATGTTCGTTCTTACACCTTGTCCCACTGGAGCCCAGCAGCCTCATTAGGTTACCACGAAAACAGGCTGGAGCAGCACACCCCAATGCGGCACGTTTAGCTTCCTAAATCCAGAGACGCCCTGTAAGTGCTGTGTGCCTTCAAGACAGACATGCCAACGTACTGAAACTTGTCTCTCACTTTAGAAAGGATATCCCAAAATGTCCATAAGCTTTAGTCATGTGGCAAACCCTTAGCATTTTGCAAAATTCTCTCTCTCCCTCTGGTGTGCATTTGTCCTATGAAGTCATCCGGGGAGTTATTTCTGCTCACTGCATCTGATTAGTGTAAGGTCACCAGTGCAAGGACAGGCATGATGGTCTGTGGGAATGGAGATGTATGAGCCCCTAGGGAAAACAGCAGGAGAGCAGACACAGCTCTGAGAATAAGAAGGAAAGGCACATCCTCTTCTTTCCATGTAAATGCAAACTGCCTCTCTTTCTGCTTGCTGGCTGGGATGGGAAAGAACATGCGTCAGGCCAATAGCAGCATCCCAGGGGCCAGGGGCTGTCCTGACTTGCTGCATTAGAGGAAACGCTTCTGGAAGCTTAGCTGCGACCCCTACCACTTCAGAGTTCCATTATTCCCAGCAAACTAAAGGTACCAATTCCACTACAGCTCTCCCCACTGTCATTTTTATAGACCGCTCTCCCCACCGGTCTATAAAAACAGCTACCATGGAGTTCATCTAGAACTCTGCAGCTCCTCTCATGTATTAGTGACTTGATGAGAACTGTCTTCTAGGGCCTGGGGTTATAGCTAGTGGGTAGCTGAGTAGACTGCACATGAGAGGAACAAAGACATGCATTCCTGAGACCAGAAATCCTTTTCTCTACAGTACACCAGAGGAGGGCAGGCATTTGCAATGGTAGAGCTTCGGCTGAGTTCAGGCTTTGATTAATCAACCAGACAATTTAACATCATTTCTGCATCTCAAGCCAACACATTGAATTCATAATCCTAAATGAATGTGATCATTATCAGTAAATTTAACCCAATCATCTTCTGATCTCACAACCTGAAAATCCACTCTCACATGTTTCCAAGGCTCCTATGAAAGGTTGGTAAATTCTTGTAAGCCTTTTGATTAATAAGCAATCTGCTCCTGGACTAGACCTTGACCTCTGTGTCTGGGCTGTTCTGAGACAGAACTCTCCCCGTGGGCTGGAGGCAACGTGCAATGTTCGTGGGAGAATGCTGAGGAGAAGCAGCATGAGCACATGCAGCAACTATGCCAGGTGCAGGGGCTGGAACGCTTTTATGCAGAGAAGGCCTGGGTCCCACAGAACAGGCAGGAAGAATTTCCACCACCAACAGGGGAGTTTTAAGTTCAAAGTTCTCAGCCTTGTCCATGCCTGCCCATATGCCCCCATCCCAGGTCTCTGGGTTCCACTTCCTCACCACTCATGCCCTTACCTTAGTGCCCAGGACCTGAGAGCATTAAGTACTTGCTTGCATTGTAAGCACTGTAACCCTACGACCCTTACAACTGGGCTGCCCCCAACTCACCCTGCAGGAACGAGAGATGAAGAACTACTTTATCAAGGTTTTCTGAATGTCTGCACATGTTCTTATAAAAATCAATGGATGAACGGATAAAGAAAATGTGATACACACACAAGAATATTATCCAGCCATAAAAAAATGAAATCTGGCCATTTGCAGTAACACAAATGGAGCTTGAGAGCATTATCTAAGTGAAGCAAGTCAGACAGAGAAAGATAAAATGCCCTACGGTCTCACTTACATATGGAATCTAAAAATACACAAGCTCACAGATAAATAGAATAGAATAAATAATAAATAAATAGAATAGATTGGTGACTGTCAAAGGTTGGGGGGGTGGACAAAATGGGTGGGGGGGTCACAAAAGTTTTTACAACTTTACTGAGGTATAGCTGATGTACAGTAACATATCTTTAAACAGAACATGAAGAGTTTTGACATAAGTATACACCTGTGACTCCATCACTATAGTAAAAAATGAACATTTCCATCACCCCCCCAAGTTCCTTGTGTCCCTTTCTCATCCTTTCCTCCCTTCATTCCCCTAAACCCCTATCTCCAGACAACTACTGACAACTATTCACATATATATACATGAGTAGTTTTATATATATATATATATATATATATATATATATATATATATAAGTATATATACATACATATATATGTATGTATATATATCTCGCTAATGGTTTCTTCCTGTCTATGGCTTGTCTTTTTTTTCCTCAAGATTTTATTCAAATTCCAGTTAGCTAATATACATGTAGCTTGTCTTTTTATTTTTTTAAGTGTCTTTCAGAGAGCAAAAGCTTTTAACTTTGATGAAGTGTAATTTGACAACTTTTTTATATGTCATGCCTTCTGTGTCCTACATAAGAAATTTTTGCCAGAACTAAGGTTACTAAGATTTTCTCCTTTGCCTACTTGTAGGTATTTTATGACCTTAGCTTTTATATTAAGATCTGTGATCTCTTTTGAGATATAAAACTTTACATATATGGTGTGAGAGATAAGGGTCAACGTTCATTTTTCTGTATTTAAATATCCAATCCATTGAAAAGAATATCATTTTCCAATTATATTGCCTTAGCACCTGTGTTAAAACTCATCAGTGTACATGTGTATCCATTTTTCTCAACTCTTGATTCTGTACTATTAACCTATGTCTATATTTATGCTGATAATATAATCTCTTGAGTATAGTAGCTTTGGAGTAAGTCTTGGAATCAAGTAGTATAAATTCTCCAAATTTATGTTTCCAAAATTGTTTTTGGCTAAACTAGTTCCTATGCATTTCCATAAAAATTTTCAAATCAACTTGCCAATTTTCCCCCAAATCTTGCTGTAACATTTTTATTGTGACTGAACTAAATGTACAAATCAATCCGGAGACAATGGACATGTTAACAATATGGAGTCTTCTGACCCATGACCACCTTGTATCTCGTGAATATCTTGTGAATTTTACATAATTTGGGATCCTGGAGTTTTTGTATTACTTTAAATATCTGGGGGATTTGTTCTGTGTATGGAGTGAAGTAAACTTGTAAACAATTTGATGTTTTCGCTTGCTATTAACATTTGTTAGACATGTACAGAATGACTTTTAGTGTAATCCATACAGGTCAGGGTCTTAGGGCAAAAAGAAGGGTTAAGAAGGGTACAGAGTGGATCTGGAGGGCCAAATAAAAGTTATTTGGTATATAAGAGTAAATGCTTATTTTCGTATCTGATATTCCAATAGGCTGTAATTTCCTTGAGGTCAAAGACAACATGTCTTTCCCCATTTATATCCTAGAGATTAACAGTATCTCACACATAGCACACATTTGTTAAATGTTTGCTTTCTATGCATTTTTAAAAACAGAACTGTAATCTTACATTTTCTTTGAAAAATAGCATGTAGTCATTTTAATAGTGATAGCATTTTTTAAAAGAACTTAAAATAGGATATATTTAGTAAGTCTAACTATTTCATCAACTTTTCAACTTACATTTTCCTCATCCATTCTATCTTTCTAATTTTTCTTTTCTTTTCCATATCTTGCCTTCTCTTCAGTTTAGAGAAATGGAATTCGATTTCTTTTTCTTCTCCTACCTCTGCATTTTCAGTAGACATCCAAAACTATTGAGGAAATGAAAAATGAGTACACAAAGTGCTGAGATACTGATTGTGAGGTTATCTGGTTACAGAGAAGAATTTCTGTGAGTTCAGTAGGAATATGTCAAGGTAGAAACAGAGGAGTGAATACACCCCTTTTAAGGTACTTCTTATGATACCATGGGTGAGTTGCACATTGCACTTTCAAAGGCACATGTTACAGAAAGACTAACAAAGCACTCGTAACTTGAGGTACATAAGAACTACTGGTTGAACAGATAAATGCATAGACATACTCCAGTACTCTTTTTGTTTTTCATAACAGACCTTACCTACTATTTGTGCTGTTGACTTCTGAAGACTCTAATTCTCAAGGAGTACAGGCACCCTTCAAGAACAGTCTCATCATTACGCTCCAAAACTTTGTGGTTTCCCTGTGTGACCTGCTATCCTAACCAGTTGTCTGTTTTCTTACTTTGAAGTCATTTCCTCTTCTTTACCACATACACATTAAAGAAAAAGGAGGAGAGTTTGCTATCCCCTGTAACACTGTGTATCTGTCCCTCTTAAAGCACAGACTTACAGCACTGTACTGAAATATTCTTTTTACTTGACTCTCTCCTAAATTAAAAAGGAAAAACACTTGAGGGGAGAGACTATTTTATCTACCATTGTATCCCTAGCATCTAGTACAATGCCTGACATACAGTTGGTATGCAATAAGGTTTGTTGAATGAATGTATGAACTCACACCTTGATCATTTTCACTTTTTAGTATACTTAATATATCAATTCTATAATCTGCATACCAGAGACTAAGGACCTGAATGAAGATATGAGCCCAAAGAGACATCTAGAGCTGTAGAACCTGATTATATTAACCTGCAAAATGTAAGCTTACAAACATCCTTAGAATCTCCACAGAAATGACATTAAACCTGGGTGCCTATGGAAAAGTCCCTAAATCAGAACCATGTACAGTTAAAATCATTCCATTCAGTTAATGAGGACATATTAAAGTTCCAAACACCATGACGACCCAAATTACTTCCCACTAGTCCCTGCTGTTACAAGCTCTATAAGAGAAAACATTATATTTTTCTCAAGAATTCCCAGCTCTAGTCCAAGGATTAATTAATATAGATTCAACAACATTTTCAAATTTGCTTTGTTATCTGGGTCTAAAGATGACCCAGATCAAAGCTGATTACTAAAAGCAGAGGTACAGAAAAAAAAGATATACTGCTGATCTTGAAGTATTATTAGTAATCTGGTAGTTAATGTCATCACTTTTTATCAAATTATCAAAATTTATTGTTTTAAAATTAATTTTCAAGAAGACAAATGAGTTTCTAAATATATAAGAGTCAAAATTATTAATATTTCTCTTTTCTTACTGTATCGGTGACAGGCCTCCAGCCATTGTTTTCTACACGACGATACCAGCCACTATGATTCTCTTCCTGAAGATCATCACTTTTAATATGAGATGTATATTTTGATGGAAGTTTTGTATAATTTCTAGGGCTATTAGCACACAGATCTTCAATATGTCTATGAGTGAAAATTTTATAGTATATATCAGGTGGAAATTTAACCTGTATATGAAGAAGTTCAAAGGACCATTGTAATCTAATTACCAAAAAAATGGTTTACATTTTTAAAATTACATCTTTTAAATTTCACATAAATATGCTTTAAAACTATCAAATAAGAATTCATCCATACTTACACCACCTAATCTGAATCGTACATGAACGCCAGCAGCAGCATCTAGAAGCTCTGCCTATAAAAAAATGTATTACTCTTCAACACTGTATATATTAGTTCACTACTTCTGACTCTATCATGTTAAAATAGTTGCTGAACATATATTATTTATGAAATAGATCAAATAAACCTCAAATAATTATTTTTAAATTAAAAAATATTTTAAGATTTAATTTCTTACAGCATCCAATAAATAAAACATCTTCCATGAAAACTGGAAAAATGATACCAAATTGTGTTTATTTTCTGTGCAACATTTAAGTATAAAAACCAACTGATATGTTATTCACAAGACAGAAATTTTACATAAGTCCTCAAATACATGATTTACATATTAAATATTACTTTATTGGTAAATTCAGGGAAAAAATTATGGTTGGCTAATTTAACACCAAATGACCTTTCCCAACTAGCTTTTGTTAGGTCAAAAATACATGTTTAAATTTTATAAGAATTGTATATTACTGGTCTTCTAAATTTTAGTGCCCTGTACCAAATGCAAAGTAGAGAAAACAATTTTGGGTCCTCAATCAGAAGACAATTTGATCTTACCTCCTGATAATATTAAATTAGATGAGAAAATACATGTTATCCTAAATCATTCATGTAAAGCCTGAAAGACCACACGAAGTTTTGCACAATTTTCTCCTGACTAAAGAATGTATATACACATGTATACATATATAGGATCACAATTCAAACATGAAAAATACATTTTATAACAGGATCTAAAACTTTTATTTATAAAATTCATAAAATTTATGCAGGTGATGCTTGAACAACATGGGTTTGAAGTATGCAGGTCAATTTATATGAAGATGTTCTATAGTACAGTACTGTAAAAGTAATTTCTCCTCCTTAAGATTTTCTTAACATGTTACTTTAGCTTACTTGAATGTAAGAATAAAGTATGTAATACATATAACTCATAAAATATGTGTTAATTGACTACTTATGTTATTAGTAAGGCTTCTGGTCAACACTATGTTATTTGTAGTTGACTTTTTGGAGAGTCACAAGTTACATACGGACTTTCCACTGCATGGCAGGGGTGGGGGGGTCACTGTCCCATCCCAAAATTGTTCAAGGGTCCACTGTATATAATTTTTAAACAAAATTCACTATATATATACTTTTATCTCCACTAAAGTAGGCAAATCCTAAGTGTACAGCTTCATGGATTTTTTTCTTTCCTCTTTTAGTCAGTTAGGGTGAGAGGATTATCATGTCAATCCAATCAGAAATTGAAGTGGGTCAAGCATGGATTATTGCTTTAGTAATTCATATCTGGTCTGTCCATTTCTAGTTTTTCCCTACTTCTCAGAGGTGGTCCTGGCAAGTCTCTATCCACTCAACTACTAAAGCCTATGGGAAATCCAGGTGTACTTTTGGGAAGATTTGAGTTTACTTCTTTATCCTTTGACCATTTACAAACTCAGATGGGGATGAGAGCTGGCTGGGTATTTGAGGCACTTCCCTTCTTTTTAGCATGACTTTGTCTCCTAACCCCATTGGAAATTTTATTTAGTGGAATAGCATTATTTAAAGTGGACTTATACTAGTTGTAAATACTCACAGCAAACTCTAGGGAAACCAAAAATTAGTAAAAAAGAGGTATAATTGATATACTGAAAGAAAATATAATCATATAAAATGCTCAATTAAAGCCAGAGAAGGCAGAAAAAGAATATGAAAAAAGAAACAAAGAACAAGGGCAAGAAATTTATTGCTTTCCATTGCTGAAAACATTAACAAATATGTTAGATATCAATCACTATATTAAATATCAATGGTCTAAATATACAAGGTGAAAGGCAGAGACTATAAACATAGATTAAAAAAATAAGATCTAACTGTATGTTGTCTATAAAAAATATTTTAAATATAAAGACACAGACAGGTTAAAAGCAAAGTTATGGAGAAACATAACATATTCACTAACACCAACTAAATGAAAACTGAAGAGCTATATTAATTTCAGAAAAAGCTGAATTCAGAGCAAGGAAAATTCTTAGTGATAAAGAGGAGGATTACATGATGATAAAGTGGCCAATTCTCTTTGAAGATATAACAATTCCTAAAGTATTTATGCCTGACAAGAGAATATCCAAATATGCAAGGCACTATAAGAACTGGAGAAATCCACTATTATAGTTGGAGAATTTCAACACCTCTCTATCAGTAACTGACATATTCAGTAGACAGAAAAATCATTAAATCCATTATGAAACTGAACAACACTTGTTGTAACCACCTAGACCTGACATTTCTAAAACACATTATCCAACAATAGCAAATACACATTCTTCTCAAGCTCATATGGAACATTTACTGAGATAGAACATGTTATGGACCATAAAACACACCTTAACAACTGTAAAATAATAGAAATTATACAAAGTATGATCTCAGTTGCCAATGGAATTAAATTAGAAATCAGGAACAGAAGGATAGCTGAAAAGGCCAGAACTTGGAAATTCAACAATACACTCTTAGTAACAAATAGATCAAATAAGAAGTCTCAAGAGAAATTTCCAAATATTTTGACTTAAGGGAAAATGAAAATACAGCTTATCAAAATTCATGACATGCAGAGGCAATGGTGCTTAGAGGAAAATTTATAACACTGAATAAATATATTTGAAAACAAGAAAGACCTGAAATCAATATTCAAGACTTCCATCTTAAGACTCTAGGAAAAGAAAATTAAATCAAAAGTAAGCAAAAGAAAAGAAATAATAAAAGCTAAAGCAGAAATCAGTGAAATCAAAATAGGAAACCAATACGAAAAATAAAAGAAATTAAAAGCTAGTTCTTTGAAAAGATCAATAAAATCAGTAAGCTTCTGACCAGGAAAACGAAGAAGAAAAAAGAGAGAGAGGGAAGACACAAATGACTAAAATCAGAAAAGAGGGGCTATCACTACTGATTCCAGGGATGCTAAAAGGATAATTAACAAATATTAAGAAAAACTCTATGCCTACAAATTTGATAGCCTATATGAAATGGTTCAAATCCCTGAAAGACACAACCTGACAAAACTCACACAAGCAGATACAGAAAATCTGAATAGACCTATTAAAGAAACTGAATCAATAATAAACCTTTCAAAAAAGAAAGCACCAAGCTTCAATAGGTTCAGTCATGAACACTACCATTTAAGGAAAGAATTGTACCAATTCTCTGAAATCTATTCCAGAAAACAGGAGCAAAGGGAATACTCCCTAACACATTCTATGAGGCCAGCATTATCCTAATACCCAAACCAGAGGGAGACACAAGAAAGGAAAATTACAGACCATTATCTCTCAGGAACATAGATGCAAAAATCCTCAAGAAAATATTAGCAAGTCAAATTCAACAAAGGAATTATATGAGCAAGTGGGATTCATTCCAGGTACGCAAGGTCATTATCAAATTACAAAAGGCTAAAGAAGAAAAATTGTATGATCATATCAACAATGCAGAAGAAGTATTTGATAAAATTCAATACCAATTCATGATAAAAATTTTGACAAACTAGGAATAGAGACAAGCTTCCTCAACTTGACAAAGGGTATCTACAATAAACACACCTATCATATTTTAAACTGCATGCTTTCCTGCTAAGAGCAGGAACAAGGCAAAGATATCCCTTCACCCCTTCTATTCAACGTCATATTGGAAGTCATAGCTAATTCAATAAGAAATAAAAGGTATACAAATTGAAATGGAAAAAAAAAATCTGTCTTTGTTCACAGATAACATAACTGTCTATATTAAAAATTCCAATGAATCAATGAAGAAATTCCTGGCACAAAAAAGCAACTACAATAATGTTGGGGGATACTACATTAACATGCAAAAGCCAATTGCTCTCTTATATACCAGCAACAAACAATCAACTTGTATACAGTCAACTTGTCTTTGACGAAAGACCAAAGCCAATTCAACAGGGAAAGGATAGTTTTAAACAGTGCTGGAAAAACTGGACATCCACAAGCAAAAGTTTAATTCCAATTCCAGTTAGTTAACATACAGTGTAATATTAGATTCAGTTGTAAAATTTAGTGATTCAACATTTTTTTAATTTTTTTTAATTTATCTTCAGCATAACAGTATTCATTGTTTTTGTGCCACACCCAGTGCTCCATGCAATCCGTGCCCTCTCTAATACCCACCACCTGGTTCCCCCAACCTTCTTTAATTTCCTGTTTGACCCATTCATGACTTAGTAGTGTGTTGTTTAAATTCCATGTATTTGTGGTTGTTTCATTTTTCCTGTGGCTGACTTCTAGTTTCATAGCATTGTGATCAGAAAAGGTGTGTGGCATGACTTCAATCTTTCTGTATTTGTTGATGCCTGTTTTGTGACCTAAAATGTGATCCACTCTGGAGAATATTCCACGTGCACTTGAGAAAAATGTATATTCTGCTATTTTAGGATGGAATGTTCTGAATATATCTGTTAAGTTCATCTGGTCCAGTTGGTCATTCAAAGCTATTGTTTCCCTGTTTATTTTCTTTTTAGATGATTTGTCCATTGATGTACATGGGGTGTTAATGTTCTCTACTATTATCCACTACATTAACAATGAGTTCCTTTATGTTTGTTACTGTTTCATATATTAGGTGCTCCCATGTTGGGGGCATAAATATTTACAATTGTTTTTCTTGCTGGATTATCCCCTTTATTAGAATATAGTGTCCTTCTTTTACCTCTGGTTACAGTCTTTGTTTTAAAGTCTATTTGTCTAATATAAATATTGCTCCTCCCTCTTTCTTTTGACACCCATTTGCACAATAGATGTTTCTCCATCCTCTCACTTTCAATCTGCAGACATCATTAGGTTTGAAATGAATCTCTTGTATACAGCAATAAGATGGGTCTTATTTTAACCATTCTGACACACACACACACAGCCATTTTATTATTTGTTTTGTGGTTGTTTTTGGAAATTTTCTCTGATCCTTTTTATCTTCCTCTCTTTCATGTTTTGCTGATTTTCTTCAGTAAGATATTTGGATTTCTTTCTC